CTTACCAGGGAGGGGGAGGGAAGACGCAGGGGGACGCAGGAGGAGGGAGAGGGGGGGCGGGCGGAAAAGCAGGGAGGGGCGACGACGAGGAGGCAGAGGAAGGAGAGAGGAGTGGGCCTGCTCACAGCCCGTTTGTCTGTGAATCGTCGCCGTCGTCGTCGTCGTCGTCGTCGTCGTCGTCCCTGTCCGTAGCTGCCACCGTGGTCGTCGTCGTCGTCGGCGCATCCGTCGTCCACTCGGTCTCGCCCCCCCTCGCACACCAAAACACGTTCTGCCAGACACTCACAACGGAAAGTGCAAGGGAACGAAATGCACATGTGGGGATCTCCGCGTCGAGCAGATTTGGTTCAGCCCCCCTGTGTTATTGGGTCCTCGCTTTCTGTCCACTGCGACGCAAGTCCCCTTGTGACCCCTCCTCCCCTTCCCGCCGCTGCTGCGCTGTTGCGCCGCCCGCTGCTGCCATGCCGCTGCTGCTGCAGCCGCTCCTGCTGCTGCGCTGCCAACCGTTGCCGCAGCTGCTGCTGCCGCACTGGCAGCCTCTGCGGCCGCTGGCCCATGACGCCGCCGCCACTCACACACGAACCGCGCCTCGTAGGACGCCTCATCTCACGACCTCAGCCTCCTCCGGCCTTCCACCCCTTCGGCACACCCCTCAACGCGGACCGTGCCCCGTGTGGAGCCCGCGTGCGGCCCCAGCGAGCGCGTCTTTACATGTACACGGATGGATAGGCATGGGCCGGTAGGTAGATAGGTAGCTAGCCCCCCCCTAGCCCCACGCAGACCGTGCCCCGCCGGGAGCCCTCCGTACGACCCTGGCGCAGGCGTCGATTCGTCTTCGTCGAATCTGCACGTCTTGTCCTTCTTTCTCCCGCTTTCGGCCCTTTCCACTCCTCTTGCCGCTGCTGCTGCTGCACTTCTGCAACCGCTGCCCTTCCTGACCCCTCCTCCTCCCCTCCTCCGCGCGTGCAGTCCATCCGCACAGGAATGGGCACCCTTCCCAAGGGTACCTCTGCATCCTTGCCCCCCTCGGCGCGTCCTTGACGGCTTTCGCTGGCCAAGCTCGTTCGACGAAGCGTCAACACGGCCCTCCGTGGCCCCTGCATCCGAGCCGCGCATCCACACGATGCGGGTCGACCGTCGGCCCGCTCGCCGGCCCCCGCAAACGGCCAGCGGTTCAGTGCAAACGGGGGTCAGCCAGAGCACCCCGATCTTGCAGGATCCTGCAGGGCCAGGGCCGCATTGACCCGGGCTTTGGGTGCAGGATCTTGCAGGATCCTGCAGAACCCTTCGCGTTGGCCCGGGTTTGGATTTTGCAGGAGTTTGCAGGAGTTTGCAGGCCAGACTGACCCGGGTCTGGATTGACCCGGGTCAGGAGATCCCCGAGCGGTGACGCGTCCTTGTTTCCCAGGGCAGGAGAGCGGAAGAGCTCCCTGCGGCGGGGTATTCGCTCGCCCCTGGCGGCCAGCGAGGCGCCCCAGGGAAGGCCAAGGCAGTGAGCTGCCTGCCGCGGCTTGCCGTTCGGCCTCGCCTCCAACGCCCTTCACCTTGGCCTCCTCCTCCAGCCTGAGCCCACCTCGCCCGTCATTCCTCCGACCCCTCCTCCCAATGCCTCCTCCGTAATATGTTCCTCTTCCTCCCGCTCCGCCCCTTTTCCTTGCCAGGTTACTCCTCCCTGTCGTTCCCGAGGCGTGTCTGTAGCAGAGCGGGCCGGGCGTTTCGTCTGCGATTTCCTCACCGTTCCCATTTCAGTGCTTCATGGACGGAGCCCTAGCGCATGTAGAGGGAGTATGGGAAATATCTGGACCGAGCGGGCGAATTCCTGGTTTCCGCGTTCCAGCGAAATTGCTGGGCCGATTTCGGATGGCGAGCAGGTTTTGGGATTCTGGTTACGGGTTTTGGGCCAATTTTGGTGGGCGAGTGAGTTACCGGTCCCGGGCTTCCCGGCGAGAGCAGAGTTATGAGCAAATAGTGCAGTCAGCGAGTAGAGAGTAGAGTAAAGCAGACAGAGTAGAAAGTAGAGGTAAAGAGCAAAGCGAGCTGAGAGAAGTGACAATGCAAGCGGAACAGTATCAGAAAAAGAGAGTTTTTGCGACCGCGGTCAAACTTGTATGATCTATGGTAGACAGCGAGAGTATGTCTCAGAGAGCACAGTGCAGAGTTGAAGAGAGAGAGGGAGAGAGAGCAGAGACAGAGAGAGAGAGAGAGCAGACAGACCAGAGATGTTGCCCAGGAGTAGCTCTGTCAGCTTTCACGGCTGGCAGGCCTCGAGTACCTCCGGAGATGTTCAAATATGTTGTCTCTGCTCTGGAGTACGTGATGATCCTGAATCTTGAAATTGACGGGTCCGGGTATTGGCAACCTGATGACATGTGGTGCATTTCATTGTCGCGAAATTCGCAATGTTTACACGGATGGAGGGGGATGGGTTTCAAAGTGGGTAACCCGCTATACCGCCATGCACATTCGTCTAAACCCAAACAGAATTTACCAGCAACGAGGACGGAGGTGGTTTTCCAAATGGAGTTTTCGCTTCCGCGCCGCGCTCATTCCTCTTACAAGCCTGCAGCAGTTGCATGGATGTAGGGCGGATCCTTTCCAAAATGATGCTCTCGCATTGGCGCCGTGCGCATGTGTCTTGAACGGTTGCAGCAGTTACAAGGATGGGAAATTGTTTCTTTCCCAAATGGGCCGCTCGCTGGGGACACTCTCGAAGTTCAAGACCAGAAACTTGAACAGCTGTAACAGCTGCACGGATGTAGGGTGGTCCCTTTCTGGTTGGAGTGCATGGCCATACCTTTTCGCATTGCTTGTTGTGTCTAGTGGCCGCCTCGGGCGCCGTAGTGTCCCCCGAGCTCTCTCCAAGTAGGTCGGTAAACCCACCCTGGAGCCGCATGAGCGAGTTGTCTGCCAGTCTTCCAGCCCTCTCGAGGCGGCCTTGGGGGTTGTCTTGGGGCGTTGTCGGGCCTGCCTCGCTCGTCTTTGGACCGCTTTGGGGGGGGTGCTTGTTGGAGGCCTCGGGGGAGAGCTGCTGCTCTCAGAGGGGTCAGTGGGGCCATCTGGAGCCGAGGAGCGTGATAAAGAAAACACAGGCTTCATTGTTGTAGGCTTCCAGGAGTCTTGCAGGAGATCTCCTCGGGCGCTTCTTGGGGGCCTTTTGGGGCCTCGCGGAGCCTCATGAGGACACCTTGGAGCCTCGGGGAGGCCGCTGGAACATCTTCAATTTGACTTGGGGCACCCTGCAGCCATCTTGGGGCGATCTTGGCCTATCTTGAAGCTGTCTCGAGGCAGAGAAGTGCGCCTCGGAGCAAATCTAGAGGGCGATGTTCGGAAGACGCGCGTGGCGAGGGGGAGGGTCGCCCCTAGAAGACTGTATGACCTAAGCCAGAAAGTTCTTGTGTTTGTGCCGTGCCTCCCCAAGCCTTGTCCAGATTTAAGTTAACTTGGCCTTCGGTCTGTGGCGGCATTGAGCTTCGACGTCAGCTGTTGTAGCATGTTGTCCGCGCCCATCGTCCCTGAATAAAAAAAACAGCCAGACGGCCACCAGACGTTCTGACATGCCTCAACGTGTCGAGAGCCTAGTGTCGGATCCTGACTCGGTTGATCTTGTTTGGCTCCCGTATCCAGATGTTGATTGGCAGTGGCCACGACCTCTTCAGCTGCCCTTCGCACGCTATGTCCGACTCGGTTGCCTTGCTTTTGAAGTCGGCCTCGCGGCCACCCTGGAGGCTGGTTCTCAGCGCTCGCTTGGTTGGGGTACATCTTGCTGCACAGCCTCATGTTCGTGGAGCCAAACCGCCACGCCGGCCTCGTGGACCCAGAGAGCAGGATTCGGCTCGACAAGGAGGGCCCACACATTTGTCTTCAAGCTTATACACGGCGTCTTCTCGTGTTGCCCACTGGTCTTTGCGGTACGCACTATGATGAATTGATACTCCTCCTCGTGAGGACTATTTCCCTACCTCCAATCACATCTATTTCCATGATTCCTCCCTGGGTGGTTCCTATCCTCGTCAAGCCATGCATATTCGCCCTCGACCTGTTCTTTCCGCATCCGTCCGTTCCATGGTCCCCAGATCTTCAGCAAAGTGCGATGTTACCCGCATCGTTATCTGCAGCAGCTCTCTTATTCCACATGCCCCGTGCTCTCCCCTCCCAACGCGCATGTTCCGCTTTTCTTTGCTTTTCGTCCCGCAGGACATGAAACCAGAGTGCCGTCGAGAGCCACTCGCCAGCCTCGCGCCCTGCATGGCCGCCATCTTCGGCGTGGCCATTATCAAGGGAGCTTTCGAGGCTGAAAGGGAGGGTAGGACAAACAATGAAGCGAGACTGGGTAGAGAGTGACGTCGACCCAGTTGAAGACGGCTGCGACAGCGACGGCGACCCACACGAGACTGGTGACGACGGAGAAGTGAAGTATGGACCAGTTCTTTGGCGGACGGTTTTGCACATGATTGTGCCTCCTTGTTAGTATGGATCCCGTGGTGGAGGTCATGACCATCGAGATCACCCAGGAGCTGTGGCAGTGGGACGTCATGACGTCTGCCATGCACCTCCTGGGAGGGAGCTGCAGCGAGGAGATTTCAGAGACGTGAAATGCTCAAACACGATATTTGCATGGGAAGGTGGAACGTTCAGGCAGGAGCTGAACGGGAGGGCGCGCACCGACAGGAGTGGATTCAAGCATGCGTCACTTGATCGTTCGCTTCGCCCTGAACCAAATGCCGACCTTGCTCTTTCTGTTGCTGCTTTTCTCCCCCTGCTCGTGCTCCTGCTGCTCCTCCTCCTCCCCTCCTCTCCTCTCCTCTCCTCCTCCTCCTCCTCCTCCTCCTCCTCCTCGTGCTCCGTTACCATTTTGGTTCAAGGTGGAGACAGGCCCCATTTGAGTGATGCAGCTCTCGTTCGGGAGCCCACCTGGAGCCAGATCCAGGCGGACACGCGCGATGCTGCTGGCGAGCTCCCGCCCGAGCGGTCAGTAGCCCCTCCACCTCTCCGTTCCCGCCATGCCGCTCTCTCCTGACGACCTCCAGGCCATCGGCACCCTGGTGCATTCGATGGACCACAAGCTCGACGGCTCCGTGGCCGAGCCGAAGAACTTAGATGACGAGTTCGAGTCGTCCTTGGCCGGGTTTCAGCTGACGAACACTAGGATGCGCGAGGAGTTCGACTGGTTCGCCTGGAATATTTCAGGTGATCCAGCTGCCGCTCTCCTTCCTGGCGACGATCAGATGATCGCCTGGCCTGCTCCGCTTCCTCTGTTCCCTCCTCGCTCTTCGTCACGTCCGCCCAGCTCGACGCCAGGCTAGTTCCCATGGAGAAGGCCATCAAGGAATCCGTCTCTGCCGCCATGGCCGCGGCCTCCTTGTGTGTTGATTATTTTGGCAGCGGTGATCCATGGAGCTGTTTCACCAGTGGAGGTAGTCCGAAACGTTCTCACGACAGTGCCACAGATCGTGTTGGTCGGTCGTTCGCTCCATCCGTCCTTTCCAGTTGCGCCTGTACGTGATGAAGCAGGTGGTCGCTGTAAGATTTGGGTCAGAACATTCCCGAGGAGGTTGCTCCCCCGTGTCTTCACCACCCACTTTCAGTCCCTCCCCAGTGCTGCTGGGCTCCTGCTCGACGGTGCCGCCGCCTAGTGCCAGAGCTACACACAGTGCTAAAGTATCCAGTTCCTGGGGCAAGTTCATGGGGCAAGGACGTCTCCTCGCTCCAGCATATCACATGGTGCGATCCCAAGACCATCGAGAATGTCCCGCTGGGGCGCGGATGCAACCAACCAACTTCACGTTCGATTCAAAAGCTGTGCTCTCGGGAAGTACTGGAAGGTCAAGAAGAAGTTGCTGATCGACCACGGCGCGTGGAAGGACACGTCCATTTTAGGCTCCAGTCCTCACACTGGCTTCCAGCACCTCGCGTGCGCGTCCGAGGAGGAGATCGACGACCTTGTCCGACTGAGTATGGGGTCTGACTGTGGAGGCGGGAAAGACGCCTTCACGATCATGGTATTCGAGTGCGCCAAGAAGTTCCAGGTGCCAGAGGCGACGTTGAATTCGCTCACCGAGCACATCCAGAGTTTCTTCGCCAAGGCGTCCTCGTGACGGTCTGCACCCACTGCGCAGGCAAGCACCTCGTCTCGCATGTTGCTTGAGCCTCTCGCTCCTGGTGGTGTCTCGCCACTTCGGGGCGTTGCAGTCTGATCCGGCAGTTCCAGTTCCCCGTCATCTCCGTCTGATAGTGAGGGCAGCACTGGTGCTGTATCGAATGCTGGTGTCTTGCAGGCGCGTGGCTTTCGCAGAGCTGCGGCAAAGCTTTCTGCTTCCAGGCCCGCATTTCTCTCCCTCTTGCATGCTGCCCGTCTGTGCCTCCCATCCTCTGGGTCTGTTTGTCACTTGTCTGTTGCATGGTGGAACTCAGCTACTCTCTTTGGAAGTATCTGGGGTGATCACACCCGTCAGTACAAGAAACACGCATGGCTGGAGAAGCTCTTGTCGCAGCCCTCAGTTACTATTTTGCCAGAGAATCACGGTTCGCTTGCTAATCTCAGCTCGTTCTGTTTCCCACACCTTCATGCACTTGTTCTCCAAGCTTCGCGCTCAACTTCTCCAGCCTGGCAAGTGTATTGTCCTGCGTCTCCAAGGTCCTTCGGGCTATCTGTCTGTTAGGAATATCCACCTGGACCCTGAACGTTCCAGACCACACGCTCGCAACATACTCCAGTGGCGTTCGCGTGTATTTCCTTCTCGTGATGCAGCTTCGTCCGTCGCACTTTGGGTGTGGGAGCATCCACGAGAGAGAGAGGGGGCCAGACGGAGTTGGTTTGGAGATCCTACAGCCACTGGCAACGATGTCTTGATTGATCGTTTCTCCGAGCTCTTCTTGCACTATGTTGAGATCCGTCAGGCTGAGTGTACGCATCGCACTGTGCGCCATGTTGACGGACAGCCACTCGTGCACTCCCTTGCTCGTCTTGACCATGTGTATTGGAACGCTCCCACGCGTGAGATTGTGGGCGGCACGCGCGCGCTGGTTTGAATGGTCATGCCCATGGCTTAGAGTTGCAGCCCGATCACGTGCCTGTGGCCGTGCAGACTCGTCCAGGGAAGTTTTCGGGCCCCTCCGTTCTCGATGGGCCACCAAGCATCCCGAGTACTCCAGATTTCGTAATAAAAGGGAGGGGGTCTGGACCCTCCAAGACAAGCCATTTCAGACCTCCCCCGTGGGAGAACCCTCCAAAACATCGTCCCTAGACCCCCCAGGCCCTCCAAGATAGCCTGGAAGAGACCCCCCCCCGAAATGAGACCCCCCTCCCTTTATTACGAAATCTGGAGTACCCTTCCCTGATGATCGAATTTCTCAGCGAGATGAGGATGTCATAGGATCGTGATGCATCGTGGCCGCGGTTCGGCCCAGTTTGTGCCAGATTGCGCCCCAGTTCGGTTTCAATTGGCCCGTTCGGTTTGACACTTGTTCGGTTTCGGCCGATTCGGCTTGGGTTCCGTTACGGTTCGATTCGGCTCCGGGTTTTCGAACGGTTCGGCTCGACCGGTTCAGTTTGCCGGGCTTACGTTACGGGTCAGGGGGGCCAATAAGGTTCGGGTGGGTCAAAATGTCGGAGGGGGGGGCAGGAGGTCAGAGGGGGTAAATGGGGTCGGGGGGTCAGACAGCATGGCCACTCCCTTTGGTCAGCACTGCTGCTTGCGGTAAAGGTGCAGGAGCACGTAGTATTATTAACGGTACGGTGGCTGGACCACGCGATGAACGGAGAGAGGGGGGGGAAGGAGTGAGGAGGGCGGATGGGGCCGCGGCCCGCGCCTTGCCACCACGCCGCAGCTGCCGCTGCCGCTGCACTCCGGCCCAAGGAGAGGAGGAGGAGGAGGAGGAGGAGGAGGAGGAGGAGGAGGAGGGAAAAGGAGGAGGAAAAGGAAAAGGAGGAGGAAAAGGAGGAGGAAAAGTGAGGAGGAAAAAGGAGGAGGAAAAGGAGGAGGGAGGAGGAAGAGGTGGAGGAGGAGGAGGAGGAGGAGGGGTCTTTGGAGGTCCGCGGGGGGATCGGGGGGGTGCAAATTGGGTCGGGAGGTCTTCAGAAGCCCAGGGGGGCCCGGGGGGGGGTCGGGGGGGATTTGGGGCGGTCCAACCCCAGACATCGGGCGTCTCGAAAAAAATCGAGACGGAGGTTTTTCATAGTTTTTGGCCTCTCGGGGCCCTCGCCGGTCCTCGGGACCGTCAAAAAACGACTCGGGATGAAAAACCGGCCCCAGGGAAGTGGTCGGGAGGTCGGGGGCCCGCATCTCGAAAAAAATCGAGACGTCGGATGTCTGGGACAGGTGTCTGCAGGGCCTGGGGGGTTACACAGGGTGTCCGTGGGGGTTCGGGTGTGTCCGGGGGAGTGTCCGGTGGGGTCCAGGGGGGCCCAGATGGGGTTTGGCGGTGCCCGGCGGGTCAAGGGGGGGAAGGAGGGAGAGGAGGAGGAAGAGGGGGAGGAGGAGGAGGAGGAGGAGGAGGGGGGACCGCGCTAGACGAACCCTCCGGCCATCAGGAACCAAGACCCAGGAGGAGGAGGAGGAGGAGGAGGAGGAGGAGGAGGAGGAGGAGGAGGACGGGGGAGGGGAGGGGGAGGAGGTGCTGGGCGGGGCCAGGGGGGGTCACGGGGTATCAGTTGGGGGGGGGGGGGCGTCCGGTTCGGTTCCCTTTCGTTCGGCGGGGGGATGTCCGGTTCCAGTTCGGTTCCAGTCTGGTGAAGTAGTTTGGATTCTTAGGGTTGCTTTGGTGGCGGCCGCAATTTTGAGCCAGAGTGGTTGTCTCAAGTGTGACCGTTTTGGTGCCGTGCACTTGCCCTTCGGGTCTTTCCATTTCAAAAAACAACAGGTACGTTGTGGCTAGCATCCTCCAAGTGCGGCTTTACCGGGGTGGGCCCAAAATGATTGCACAAAAGGTTGCCATCAACTTCAAAATCATGCGTGCAATCCGTGCTGGCCAACATGGTCTTCTAGATAAGTTTATTGCATGCGTGCCCCACTGCAATGACATGAGTGGCATGGTGCTCCAGAAGTGCATTCAGTTTCATGACGAATTCGCATTGGCATGTCGTTGTCAGGCAATCGCGTCTCTAGAAGCTTAATCATATGATATTGTGTCGTGGTGGAAAGCAGCCTGACGACTTTCGCGACCTGCCCGACGATTTGCTCGATTATGTACTTCCGCCCGGTGGCAATGGTTGCGATCGTATCAGATCTTTTCCGACGACCCTCTTGCTCCGACGAGTGTCAACCGATCGCGATGTACTGACGACCCTCTTGCTGCCGACGGGTGCCAACCTGCAGTAAAGGAGACAGAAGAAGGCCACCAAGCGTGTCCAGTTCATCCTTTATCCTGAACGTGTTCACACTTCCGATCCCTTTGCCGAGCTCTATATTGCATTGTTGAACACGCGGTCCCCTTCTCGACAGCAGACGTACCGATTCTCAGTTGTAGACCCCACCGCGGTAAAACCTATGTTTGTGGAAAAAGTCGGCGAGGAATCTTGCTGATCAACTCGCAATGAACGGCTCTGCGTTCACCGCCTATCTGGTCGGGTTGTGGCTACGCTTCGGCTTTCTGTGCATCCGATCTCTCCTGGCATCGCGTGGTTCCCCGACTTTGTCACGTTTTCCGGGGATTGCGTCTCATCACGATTCGGCACCTGTTTTTTTTTGTTGGCGTACCGAATTCGGGGTGGCAAAGTGCAGGCCCTGACGTTCATCGACATCTGTTCCGTGCCCTTCGTGCTCCCACGGGTCTCCAACAGCCTCCCGGAGGGTTTCATGCAGGCTACGCACCTATGAAGGACGCGATCGGTTCTCGCCCGGAGGGGGAAGGGGGAAACACAAACCAAAAAAACGCACCCTCATCAGGAGCAGCACCGACAACAAGATATTCGCGGCCTGTCTTGGGGACCCCTTTTTTCATGCAGCAAGCTCAGCATGACGTGTCTCGGTCCGCTCGGGGTTTCATCGTGGATGGTTGTGGGTGTAGAGTCCTGGATGATTGTGTCGGGCGATGATATACCAATGCTGGTTGGCTCTTCCTGGACGTGGCCTCCGCTTTCCCGTCCCTGGGTCATGCTTAAATGATCGACGTGCTAGGTGTGTTGGGTATTCTCGACGAGATTGCGAAAACCGCCCAAGTCCGTGATGCTGATGTTGAGGTTGATCCGCCTGTTTGTGGCAAGAAATTCCTTGGGCGGACCCCCGCACGTGGCGTCAAACAAGGATGCCCGTTGGCTAGTCTTCTCTTCGTTCTTGCTCTGGGCCCTGTGTTCCGAAGGCTCGAGAAACGGATCGCGCCTCATCCCGCTGCTCGGCATTCGTCTGCGGACGATGATGGCACGGCCTTCGCTGATGCGTTGTTTCCCTCCCCGTCATCCTCGCGTGGATGACGCAGCAAACCCATGTCGCAGGTCTCTGTATGAACCTTGAGAATTGTTTTCGTCATTTCCCGGGGCATCTTGAGAAAGTTCTCCTTGTTCGGGCTTTCAAGCGTTTGGGGAACACCCCCACCAAGTTCAAGCTCCCTGGGTGTGAGAAGCATTTTTGGTATTTTCCTGGATCCAGGTGGCTGCGATACCTGATGGAAAGCTCCGTGTCAGAAGTTGCTTCAATGTGTTGCCCATGTTCGGTTTCTGCATGTCTCTCTCTCTCTCTCTCTCTTTCTCTCTCGTGCACAACCTGCAAGCCTACGACATGTTTGGCTGTCGCCCATATGTGGCAGCTCTATCTCCTAACCCAAAACGTTTCACCAATGAAGGACGTTTCTCGTATTGAGAAAACCGCTGTGCAGCGTCTTGCTCTTATTGCATCGCCCCGGCACGCTATACCCAGCTCCATCCTGCGGGATAAAGTCTGGGCCGCGGAATTTGACATGTTCCGCACGTGCACCTATGCTCAGAGCCGCGTCAGGGTTTCGGAAACTCGAGGATGCCATGGCCAGGTCTCACTATTTGTTCACAGCTGTGTGTGACCAGGGTGTTCTCTCTCTTCCTCGGTACCCAGAGTGGTGGCAGTATGCTGTCACTTTCTGTACGATGAAATGTTGTAGAGACCTAGCGGCCATTGCCCCGCATCTT